CCCCCTAGCAGCTTGTTCTGTAACCACAGGAGCGTTTTTTTCAAGTCCTTCAATTGAAAGAGAGTACCTCAAGAGGGAGGTTGATGCACAAGAAACACTTTTTTAAAGTGCTACTTAGGTAAATGTCTTTTGTTTCAGATGTCGACGAATGCGCCAATAGCAACGGTGGGTGTGCACAAACGTGCAATAACAACGTCGGAAGCTTCAGCTGCTCTTGTCCTGCCGGCTACGTGTTGAATGCCGATGGCTTGAACTGCGATGGTAAGTTGGGCTGTTACCTTTGCCAAGAAGGTGTTTTCGGGGGTTGTGTGCCTGGGGGAAGTCATAGAGGGGTCTTCAATCTTAATGATATTTGCCATGTTCGCAGGTTAAAAGAAAAAACATCTTGGTACTTATTTAAATGTCTTTCGTTTCAGATGTCGACGAATGCGCCACTAGCAACGGTGGGTGTGCACAAACGTGCACAAACAGCGTCGGAAGCTTCACCTGCTCTTGCCCTGCCGGCTACGTGTTGAATGCCAATGGCTTAGCCTGCGATGGTAAGTTGGGCTGTTACCTTTGCCAAGAAGGTTGTGTTTTGGGGGGGTTGTGTTCCTGTGAACAACATAGCTCGGGAAGTCATAGAGGGGTCTTCAATCTTAATGATATTTGCCATGTTCGTAGGTTGAAAGAAAAATTCGAAATGAATAAATTTTGTGTCCTTAGGCCGCCTTTTACGGTACTGAAGCGAAACGTTTGGTTGTTTTGATATCTCGTGATTTGGACATGCTATGGTCATGATTTTTGGGTGGTAGACAATGTGCTCGGGAAGAAGAGGCATATATTCTGGCCCCCTAGCAGCTTGTTCTATAACCGCAATAGCGTCTTTTGTCAAATCCTTGCATTGAAAGAGAGTACCTCAAAAGGGGGTTGAGACACTCAGAAACACTTTTTTAAAACTTGCTTCTTAGGTAAATGTCTTTTGTTTCAGATGTCGACGAATGCGCCAATAGCAACGGTGGGTGTGCACAAACGTGCAATAACAACGTCGGAAGCTTCAGCTGCTCTTGCACTACCGGCTACGTGTTGAATGCCGATGGCTTCGCCTGCGATGGTAAGTTGGGTTTTTACCTCCATGAAAAATGGGGGCATTGCTTTTGGCGTGTCTGTGTGTGTTCCTGTGTGTTTGTGTTTCCGCACATTTGTCGTCAGCATAACGCCTTTATGGATTATGATGACATTTGGTTTAAATTTGACAAACTGAAGAGTTTGCCATGCATTGTACCCGTTACAACTGTTGTGCAATAAAGATTGACTTGACTTGACTAACTGAAAACAATGTTACAATTCTGCCATTTGACACAAACAACGTCACCGACAACACTTTATGTTCAACCATTCTCAGGGGTAACCCCTCATTGTCGTTTGTCAACAACTGTAAAATATTTGATGCGGTTTTCAACTTTATTTTGCAGACAGGACGTTTTGTTTGATTTAGTTGATTCATTTTGATTTGTACACCAGCTCATTATGAACCCTTGTCATTTCTTATTATTATTATTATTATTATTACTTTGTTTTATTGTTTCCTTTTATGTGTGAGGAGAGGGCTGAGATAAGTTTTATAACTTTTTGCCTCATCCTCGGAAAATAAATGTGAATAAAATAAAATAATGTTACCCCCCCCCCTCCAGATTGTGCCACAGTCTACTCCGGTCTCCGACCTGCCAGCAATTTCGGGTTCCACCAGGGCCAGTGCTTCTGGTCCTCCGGCCGTAAGCAGCGTCTGACCTACGCGGCCGCCCTACAAGCCTGCCGAAGTAACGGGGGCACACTTGTCATGATCAAGAACAGCGCCACCCATACATTCATCATGAACCACTTTAAGAGGAAGAGTGTGAAAGGCAGACGAGAAAGGTAAACTGTTTGTTTGTTTGTTTGTTTATTTAATGGCGGCACACTTATAATGATCAAGAACAGCGCCACCCATACATTCATCATGAACCACTTTAAGAGGAAGAGTGTGAAAGGCAGACGGGAAAGGTAAACTGTTTGTTTGTTTGTTTGTTTGTTTGTTTGTTTGTTTAATGGCGGCACACTTATCATGATCAAGAACAGCGCCAACCATACTTTTATCATGAACCACTTTAAGAGGAAGAGTGTGAAAGGCAGACGAGAAAGGTACACTGTTTGTTTTGTTATTTGTTTGTTTAATGGCGGCACACTTGTGATGATCAAGCACAGCGCCACCCATACTTTTATCATGAACCACTTTAAGAGGAAGAGTGTGAAAGGCAGACGAGAAAGGTAAACTGTTTGTTTTGTTATTTGTTTGTTTGTTTAATGGCGGCACACTTGTGATGATCAAGCACAGCGCCACCCATGCTTTCATCATGAACCACTTTAACCCTACCTAGACCGGGCTTTTTTTGACATGGGGGAACCGGGGGGGGGACTCTTTTGCCCCCCCCCCCCTAAGAACTCGCGAACGGTATGTCAGAGAAATTTTCAGAGAATGGTGTACTAGTAAAAATTTATCATATCTACAATTGTTATGTCGTTATGACGTAATATGACGTCATTATGACGTCTTTAATGTGATTTTATTGGCCAAAACCATCTAAATAGGTTTTTACCTGAAAACTAAATGGTATTCAACATAACTGTACCAAAAGTGTTTATGACAGAATATTATGGTGTACTAAGTCTTATGTTGCCCATAGCAACACCGGTGACGTCATAAAATGACGTCATGCATATTTAAGATATCCGCCATCTTGGATCATAAATCTTGAATTTTCAAAAATAGTTTTTTTTCATGATAAAGCCTAAAATACATCGTAAACATACTAAAGACCTTCATTTAAACCTTTTTTGGAAAAAGAAATGGAAGTATTGATGAAATTTTCATGAAAATAACCTGTATATACCTGTTCTAATGATATGGTCCGCCATCTTGGATTTTGGCCAATGACGTCATCAAATTAGCATAAATTATGCATATTTAATGATAAAATTTACATAAAATTATATGGGATGTTATTGATATTAGAAACCATGAGTAACTTGACATAAAACCCATAAAATTCTATTGTTGAAACAAAAAGTACTAAATTTAGCAAAAAATGCCTGTCAGAAACCCGTTGCCATGGCAACACAAAAATTATTATCTTATTCCAATGATAGAGAATTGTTGCCAACAATATTTTAGGAAAAGTCACCAAGTTTGGCCGTTCTACGGCTAGCCGTTCAGACGCTAGGTGACATCAAA